GGGGGGGCGCCCGTGCCCTAAGGAAAAAAAAAAAAAAAAAAAAAAAACCTCAAAAGAAAAAAAAAAAAAGAAACAAAACCATGGTTTAATGTGTTGTCCCTTTCATCTTAAAAATGTAAGAAATCTGGGCCAGGAGAGGCATGGTGGTTAAGGTGCTAGACTCCCACAGAGCCAACCACGGTTCGAATCCCAGACCTGGTGGCTTGCTTTCTCACTCTCTCTCTAGTGCCCTATATTAAATTAAAAAACAACTAATAAGTAAAAGTAAATAATTTTTTTAAATGTAAGGATTTTAATAGTGAAATAAAATGCAGATTTCCTAAAGCCTTTCAGAGTGGGAAAGGACTCTCTGGAAGCTTCCACAGTTTTCTACAAGTAACCAGAGAATGAAAAAGCTCAGTGTTGCCTGTTCAGGATAACATAATCTGTGTGTCACTTCTAGAGTTGAGAAAAAAGTCCACTGAAAAATTGAGAGAGAAAAAAAATCCATTCCTACCTCATTTAATATTTTATTATTTTAATTCAATATTAAACTTCTACCTCATTCACATACATTATGATCTGACTATATTATAATTATATAGCATATCTTGTAAAGTGAGCTGTTATAAAAATAACCTGACTCTCCTTGTCTGTATTTCCTAACTTTTAAAAATGGTTATTAGTTTTACTGTGGGTTTTTATGGAGTTTTATCATCACAAAAATAGCTATTTAAATACATTATTATAGGGGCTTGGGGGCACTATTTTTTTTTAGAGAGAAAGATTATTACTATAGAGTGTGTGTGCTTGCTAGAGAGACAGAAAGTGAGAAGTCACCCCCTAGGTGGGATAGCCATGCTGCAATCCCTTCTCTTCCATTCTCCTCTCAGGGCTTTGGGCAGGCACGCACGCACATGTACCTGGTGTGAATTTCAAGCTTCTGGGTCTGGGACTCGAACTGCACTAAGCCATGTGGGATTCCAGTGACATAATCATTATACCATTTGCTGATCCCTTGGGGTACTGTTATTTAAAGATTCGTCTTCTAGAGGACAAGCAGTTAGCGTAATGGCTATGTTGCTAAACTCCATGTAGCCAAGTGGTTCGAGTCCTGGACCTGATGGCTTAAACTCACACCTGGCGCATGTGCGTGCATGCCCAAGATCCCGAGAGAAGAATGAAGGAGAAGGGATTGTGACGTGGCCATCCCCCTTGGGGGGTGATTCCTCGCTGTCTATCTCTCTCTGTCTTTCTGGTG